CAAGAACCTGACTCGGAACAGGGAGCTTACTAAAGCTATGTTCAATAAATGTGGGAAGTAGATAAGATACACAGGAAGGGTATACGAAACCCTTTATTTTTCACTTTTTACAATAATTTCCGGACTTCGGTATACAGAGACCAACCACTTGTGGTCTAAACGTAAGAATATAAAAATATTAACTAAACTCTAACTTAACTTTGGAATAATAAACAAGGGCCTATGTGGAAGATTGGCCGTATATTAACAGGAAGCCGTATGTAGTACAGAGAACTGTTAACACTACAATACGTTTAAAATTATTAAGAGGATTAAACCTCTGGCCTGGAAGGCAACCAGCAACCGAGTAAAACTGCTAAGGCAAGCGGCCTGCTTCAACTAACTCCTTCCTCTCCGCTTGCTTGGCAAAAAGCCACAACTTAAGTACTTGGCGTTCGCCAGACAAATTTGCATAAATAAGTTAAAGCTTTTAATTCCGGCCGGAAGTAGAAAATAAGAAGTGATAGTAAAGATTTAAAATAAAATAAACGTTAGTAAAATTTAAGATCCTTACAATGTCTCTGAAAATGTTAACTTCTTTTTAGATCAGATAAATAGTGTGGCACAGCTTGAAAAATGGCCAGATGAGAAAAAGTTAATTATTCTAAAAATCCATTGTCGGGATAAAGCTCTACATTTCTTGGTCAATGACCCACGGGCAGCTAAAGAGAACAATTTTGATAGTTTAGAAAAACTACTAAAAGAGAAATTTGCTCAAGTTGAACCTTTTCAGATTATTCAACAAAAATTTTCAAATATTTCTCAAAAATGTAATCAGTCAGTCAGAGAATTAGCTGAAGAGATAACGACTGCAGCCACAAAATACATTAATGAAGATTCAGTTGAAAATCCCAGCCTACACAGATTAAAAAGAAAATATGAAACTCACAAAATTTCTTGAAGCTCTAAGAGCTGATATCAGAATAGAGGTTAAAAAGTTAGGTTCTTCTTCATTTGATAAGGCTGTAGAACTAGCTAGTAATGTAGAAAATGCTTTAAATGATCAAATGATTTACCTTAACAGCATTAATATTGAGCAAAATTTAGAAATTAATACTTTGCTTAAAGAAAAATTTGAACAAAATAAAATAATTCAAGAGTTAAAAGACAAAATTAATGAATTATCTCAGAATATGCAGGTAAATTCCTCTTTTAACCTTAAATATCTAACTTTTTCAACATTCGAAACATTCCGTTTTTTCCTTGCACGCTTACATGGAATAATGTTTTCGCTTGAAACTAAATTTTGACATTTTTTCCTTTGCTGTTGACAACATTACCTATCGTAGGTTAACATATCAAAACACCATGGCTTTCACAACGTTTTTTACTTCCTTGTACGAAGTAAGGGAAGTACTGTAATTACGAAAAATTCCAGGTTTCATATTTCAAAGAAAATAACCATTTTGACCGCTATCGAATGCAATTTCACAATGTTTTTGCGTGACATCTGTATGTAGAACAGAATGAAGGACGCCTTGATTTAAAATAGATTCAGAAGAGATTTTTTTCGTGGCATCTGTAAGTATGTATGTATCTCGCTTAAGTCAATAACGAGTAGCATCGGAACGTTGAAATTTTGTATAAAGGAGTGCTATAACAAGTAGCTGTGCACCTTCCTTTCGGTTGCAATCGGCCGCACCAAAAGTATATGTAGAGATCATCGACGACCGATGCTGAATTAGAATTACTAGCGTGGTGACGTCATCTCAGCTTAGCGCAGTGCGGAGCAGTTAAGACAAGACCAGATAGCGTCCAGACGTGGTAGAGAGTGGAGCGTAGCAGATGCGAGCGGATGGCTTGCTTGTCTTCAAGAGTTGAAGAAGACAGACGGTCTTCTTTGGTGTTTAAGTGCCTTTGATGCTTAAGACAAGCCGATCATATTATTTAAAGCTAGCTGTGGATTTTAAGAGGATAACGTATTCTATCAATGCCGGTGGAACTAATAGTGTGTGTGAATTGCTTATTATTACGTGAATCCTGTGGACTGATCATTCATTCCCTTCAATATCAATTCTTACTTAACTTACCTTTGTTTACTTTTATCTATTTCTCATTAGTAAAATAAAAGCATTTAACAATGCAATATCCGTGCATTCCGTGCTGTTTTGAAAGTAAAACCTACAAACTTTGGCTACCAACCGTGCGGCAACCAGCTCATCAACGAACTTCAAATCGAAAGTGTGCCAGTAGTATTCTGAACTGTGTGTTGAACTGACTGAGTGAGCTGTTATTACAAGTTATTGGATTTATTGGATTACTGTTTAAGTGTGTGGATTACCCCAATTGAGAACGATCATCTGTCGGGTGAGTACAAAACTTTCTTTCCAATATGAAGTTAGTAGAAATTCCAGAATTGGAAGCAACTTTAAAGAACAGTAAAAGTTCTGAAATCAAAAGTTTGCATAAGCTTATTTTTAATACTGATGGAGATCGAAATAACCGGAAAAGATTACGTGAATTTTCTGGCTTTATATTTAACCCAGATTCTGAAGAATTTAATAAGAAAACACTGCAGAATAGTTTTACTTTGAATGAGTTAATTAAAGTTTGCAAAGTCCTATGTATAAATTCAGCTATACATATATGTATCAGAATTTATACAATATATGTATAAATTCAGATGGTTCAAAAGGAGAAATAGTAACCCGAATTGTCTCTTTCCTATGTGATTTCTACGTATTACTTAAAAATATTTTGCATGAAGAAAATAGTGATATTGAAGATGAAACTGTTAATAAAATTTCTGAAGTAGTGCTTTGCTCGATGATAATCAAAGAGACAATCCTGGTTTTAACGAGTCTCAAGTAAATAACAGTATGCAGCTTCCAATTCAAAATCATTTTAAACCTCATCTTAGTTTTTCGGATATTGAAAGTATTGTTAATCCTTTTTCTGGTAATGCATATGAAAATGTTGATAAATGGACTGATGAATTTGAAGATGTTATAAATTCTTTGAAATTGAGTGATTTGCATAAATTAGTTTTTGCTAAAAGAGCATTAATAGGTAAAGCGAAACTATTTATTCAGAGTGAACCTAAAGTTAATGATTGGTGTAAGTTAAAAAAGCTTTTGAAATCTGAATTTGGTAAAGCTTTTAATTCTGCTGAGTTGCATGAAATGTTATGAAAGCGTAAATTAATGCCTAATGAATCTTTAGATGAGTATTTTTTGAAAATGAAAGAAATTTGTTCGGGAGGTAACATTGAAGATGCTTCATTAATTAAATATATTATTGATGGTATTCCAGATTCTGTGGTGAAGAAAACTATACTATATGGTTGCGAAACAATATCTGAATTTAAACAAAGGCTTAAAATTTATGATCAAATGAGATCGGACAATAAGTTTAAAAATCCGAAACCGAAAGTAGACACTCAAGTTAAAGATAGAAGTAAGCTTGCGTCATCAAACCGAAATCAATCTAACGTTAATAAGGTCAAATGTTTTAAGTGCGAGGAATTTGGGCAAAAGTCCTCTCATTGTATAAACAAATCGAAGGGGATAAAATGTTTTAAATGTGAAAAGTTTGGGCATAAATCAACTGACTGTCAAAGCCAGAACCCCGAGACACAAGCAGCTTTAATACAACCCATGTAAGGGCTCTAGTGTAGAATTGGGTGCCCCTTCGATTAGCGACAATTTTTTGAAAAAATTTTGGCGATGAAATCTCATTTCTGGTTACCGTGATAGTTTAACTTTGCTTTAGCCTCCTGATTTTTTTTAAAAATAAAAGTAGATTGATGTGTACATGGTCAAATTCAAAGCAGTGTGCAATGCCTAGTTTGTGCAATTCTGGGATGTTTTTTTAAGTGAAAACAGATCGATGTGTACATGGACACAGAGTTTATGCAATTCTTTGACTTCTTATTTTTGGTTTTGTGTAGCGGCCATCTTGAAATTGTGTCTTCCTGGCGCCGAACTTGGCGTCAAAAAAGAATCGCCAAAAAACAAGGGGCACCCAATTGTAAACTTTTACCGATATCGCTACAATTTAAACTTGGAGAACCAATCTGCTTGTGTAACTCCACGCTGCATATCGTGACATCTGAACCAGTGTCACTCGACAAAGCCTAATTATTTTTAACCACAACAGCATTTACCATAGCACATTTTAAATTTGGCGGAATAGTGAATTAAGTCTTTTTGTACCTTTAGTGTCTTTTTGTCGAGTGAAACCAAAACGAGACTTTTAGACTTGTGCAGTCTCCTATCTTGCCTGCTGGCCGAATTGCTTATTTTTGAGTAGAAACTGTGATTTAAATTCAAAAAACTGTTTTCTTAATTGTTTTAACTGTATTTGGTGTTTTATGTTTTTCTATAGCTTTCAAATTTTAATAAGATATTTTGAGTTTTTATGTATTTTTGCCTTGTCGCGAAGTGATAACTGAATTAATTGAATGAGAAACATATTTCGAATGAAATTCGAGGAAATAAGTTTAAATGAAATTATAGGAAAAATTTTTATAATTTAATATTCCGTGCAAGGAAGCCATGTGGTGTCATCAAGTTTTTTAATAAATAGATATGAATAATTTTCTGCCGAAAGAACATAAACATACCCTTCCATCGATTGCTTCTTTAAAAGCGATATTTTGCATGAAACAAAAAATGTCAAATACCAGACAATGATTTATACTTTCGAATAGATAGTCGCAGTTAAAAAAAATTCCAAGTGGGAGATTTTTTATAGCAAAGCAAAATCTTCAAAAACCTGCGCGAACAACCTCTGTATTACCTGGTGTTGTGTATGACTTGTTATGTAAAGTTAAATTCCATAATTTCTGCCAAATTAATTTTTTTTATTTAAAAGTCTGTAACATGAACATTTGCCTTAATTGAAATAAATGTTTGAAATCAACGGCTGCAAAAATAAATTTCTCTTATAGACTTTTATAGGCATGGTGTGTATTTACTGTATTTTTCTGAAATCAAATATTTTATCTTCATTTTTTTCAGTATGATTGTTTTAAGAAGATGGATGAAAAAGTAAGGGTGAAAACAGTATGTTGAGGCTGAATATTTTATCTGCCTTATAATCTATCTGTTCTTCTCTATGCCTTACCTATGTTATCTGTGTTGTATCATCTGCTAGTTCTTTAAACCATAAAAAAATAACAGTATATTTACACAAATAAAGATCCCAGTTAATACGAAAGCAGTTAGAAAACACATAAATGCACCCATATTATAATTAACAGGAAAATACTATTAAAAATTAACAGATTTGTTTTGAAGTTTAATTTCGAGAGAAGTTCATTTGGTAATTGAAATTAAATTAGATTGTGAAACAAGAAAATGCATATCAAAATTGAAGTAATAATTTTGTTAATAGTATTCCTGTTCTATTTCAATAGGACACAATAAGAAATCCTCTGTACAAATCTGAAAATTTGGTTCCGATTTTCTCTCCCACATTGAGAATATGGAAATATCTTATGTTAAGACGTTGTAAACCAAGATTGCCTGATCTGTATGTGGATGGCGGTGTGCGTTATCAGTTTCTTTGTGAGAACATTATATTCCCTTAATTTGGTTATTCCCGTCATCTTAATGATCCACCTAAGAAATATTATGTACTAACGTTAGTTTTATTTGATAATAAAAAATTCCTATTTTGTATAAAAGTATTAAATACAAGTTAAAAAAATATTTTTGTACTTTTCTTTTCTCAAATTTTATGTAATTGAAAACAAACAGTATCAAAATTCTCACAAGATAACTTTCACAGAAGTCTCGTTCCACCATAGATGCCTCTAATCGTTCTCTAGACATCATGTAAAAAAATAGTTTTATCATTGTTAATCTTATGTAACCACAAAAAAATTAAACAAACTGAATACAAACTGAACTTGTGTAACTGAATACAAACACTATCAGAATACTTGGAAGAAAAGTTTTCACGTTGTCTTTGTTCCATTGTAAATGCCTTAAACCGTTTCCTAAAGGGTTATCTAAGAAGTATTATCATTGTTAATAAACGTTATTATCCGTAAATGTGTATACCATCCATTGTAAATGTATTGCAACCGTGTATACTATCTGTTCAAAACGTACATGGGAAATTCACATCACGTGTGTGAAAGCTCCGATATTTGAATTTGGAAGCTGGAGGTCACCAGCGTGTTCTCCGTAGAAAGAAATGTACCAAGTATATGAGAAGTATGTGAAGTGACATCATCCGGGATAGCGAAGTCAAGCTGCAATGCAAAGGACCTAAAGCATCTTTCGACAACTCGGTTTGATACCTCATTTTGAACAAAGGGCGTTTGAACGAAGACGCTTGGGTTTCTTGATAAGAAATAAATCCCAGCTATGTCTTAACCTACCCAACTGCCAGATTTCTTATTATCTGACGCCTCTGATATCGTACGGCCCTAATGAAGTCGAAGATTTCGAACAATTCAAGCTATCTAAAGTGCAGTGAGATCACTTAGCACAGATGACGTATTATCCTAAGGCTTCTTGAAATGGCAGAAGTTCTGGAAAATGGGCGTATTCTAATGTATGCCACTTTGGAGATATCTGATAATAATCTTTTGCATTTAGGGAAAAAATGTTCCCCAAGAAGTTTCCATAAAATTTTGTGTGTAGCTATAAACCAATCTCGTGAAGAATAGGGGAATATTCGGACTTCATGCAACTGAAAGTTAGCTTTCTCTCTGACTGGAGACCAAATGCATAAGTATTAACTATTAACTATAGACCTTATCATTGTAAATAACACTGTAGGCTGTGTTAGTTGGAAAGAAGACTTAAACTGTTATCAAGTTCTCAAAACTGTCTATGGGCTGTGGAATTTTAAAAATATGTATTTTATTCCATTTTTCCCTATTCCGTTAGTTTCAGGATAAAGATGTATAACAAAACTGTATTCTGTGAAGGATGTAAATTTTTAACTATAGCAAACAATCTATAATCTGTTACTTTAGATTCAAGGTTATTTTCTACAGACTTCAACTGCAGTCTCAGCTGAGATTGAGAAAATAAATCCTGAACCGAGACAACGACACGAGTTACAATCGCAAATCGGGGGCGGGGAGGTGGCAATGGCCTCGAAGGTGCCTGTTTTAAATTAACAGACTATTGCTGGGTGAGATAACTTTGTACAGCGTAGAGCTCTAAGGTTATTTCCGAAGGAATATAGAATGTAATCTATGGTAAATAAATATAATGAATTTCAAAGAGTGTATTTATTTCATTGTGGTTTATGTGCTATGAAACGAAGTAGACAATTCAGTTCAATAAGCTTAAATGAAATGCAGGAAAAAATGTGTATAATTTAATATTCCGTACAAGGAAATCATGTGGTCAGACATCAACTTTTTTACCATAGCAGCCGTATTTGTTTAAATTTGAGATTTAGCAGAATAATGAATTAAGTCAGTTTCTGCACCTTTAATGTTTTTATGCCGAGTGGGACCAAAAGTAAACTTTCAGGTTTCTACAACGAAAAGCCCACCAGCGGCCGAGCGGTAAAGTCGCTGAACACTATTAGTTCGGTCCGAGGTTCGAATCCCGCGAACGGGCTGGCTGCATTGGTGTTTTCGTGGTTTTCCCCATGTGTAACGTGTATACGAGCCAGTTTCCCTTAGGAAGACCTCCACGAAGGCATCCCTCCCCTTAGGCAGATAGCCCTCGAGGCTTTGCCATAATCACTAATACACACACATATCTACAACGAAAAATCTCCCTTATTGCTCGTTGGACGAATTGCTTGTTTTGATGTAGAAGCTGTTAACTTGAATTATAATTTTTTTTAAAAAAATTCTTTTAACTGTATTTGGTTTTTTACATTTTTCACTTTTTAATAAAGATATTTTGAGGTTATGTATTTTTGCCTTGTCGCGAAGTGAAAACTGAATTAATTGAATGAGAACTATATCTTTAATGAAATTCGCGGAAATAAGTTTAAATGAAATGCAGAAAAAGATTCGTATAATTTAATATTCCGTATGAGGAAGTCATGTGGTGTACACATCAGATTTTTAACTGTAGCAAATTATTTGTAGCCTCTTACTTGAAAATAGAAACTTCAAACTTCAAGGTTATTTTATACAGATTTTAACTACAGTCTCAAATGAGATGGAGGAAAAAAAATCCTGAGCTGTAATGACGACACGAGTTACAGTCGCAAATCAAGAGGGAAACGTGGCAATGGCCTTGAAGTGCCTGTTTTAAAGCAACAGACTATAATAAGGAAATATTACTTTGTATAGCGTAGAATTGTGAGGTTATTTTCAAAGATAGGAGCATTAAAATCAGCTATGCCCCCGCCTGGATTCGAATCACAGATCTTCCGATTGCAGGCCGTGTATGCATCTACTTACTGTGGGAGGCAACGCAGTTTGGAATTCGAATATTCCTTGGATTCTATCCTACTTAAAAGGCCATTGGAGAGGAAGAGATCCAGTCCCCAAATGCTAACGAATATACTCAGATACAATTACCCATATACGTCTGGTGAATGCAAGCGTTGGTCCATTACGTTTTAGTTGAACGCAATTGTAGAGACCGTTATCCTAATTTTTGGAGCAAAACAATTAGGAAATCAACCACGACTTCGCCAAAATTCAAGCCACTGGCCTACCGTTGTTAGCAGGAGGTGCTACCGCTTACACGCCAGGAATTCGCAATAGAGAAAGCGAATATTCCTTATAACGGTTGTGGTAACGTGTGGCCCCAACTTGTCAGCAACTGTGGTAGTGACTGCTACGAAATGTAAATTTACACAAACACGTAAGAAGGATTTAAAGCCCTTTTTATTCCACTTTAAAAATAACAGCTGCGTCCACTTGACGCTCAGAAGCTACGCCGACCCGGCGGTTTAACAGAAACAGAATGTAAAACTGAAAAAAATAATGACTGGATGAATAAATAGCTAGATCACTATCCACGAGGCTCTGAAATCTTACTAACCTAACCGCGTTCTAAAAATACAGCTGAGATTCAGCGAGCTTACTAATTAAGCAGTTGAAAGATTCAGCAAACTGCCGAGATAGGCACACAGGCCGAAACGCGTGGTTCTTAAATTTCTACCTAGCAACCTTCACGTTCGCGATTCAAGAAGCACACCTACAAACTCGTTTCCCTTCTATTTAAACTCAACTTACTTCTGCTAAATTTGAATATACTGCGCGCTCTACTACAATTTACATACTCTAGCATTGGCAATTCTAGGGGAAAGTAAAGGCTTGACAGGAAAGATAGCTTAAAATAAATGTTAGTTAAAATAAATATAAACCCTACACAGTATAATAGGAAATAACTGCAACTTTTTACGTTATTATGTATTTATACTCGTATACATACCTATACTATCTAGCCAGTTACAATAATAAATTTGGATGATCAAGTAAAGATAAAACTTTTGAGTAGGATGATTTGTACTGAGTACGAATTCTTTTAATCATATTACAGTAATTAATAAGTCTCAGTGTTTACCTCTTAAGTGATAATAAACTGCGCATCTATTTCATTGCATTTACTCAAGGCTACGGTCTCCCAGTTGCGATCGTAACGCGTGTCGTTATAATCGTACAGAACTTATTTTCTCCACTTCGCTAGATACAGTGCTTCAAGTCAATCTTCATTCGCGCATGTTTCATGAAGCAAAACGCGATAAACGGGAAAGAAATAAAGCAGTAAAATTAAGCGACTCGAGTCATCTGCTGCAGCTATCATTCCCATGGTATATTGTGGTATGGAAAATGACTCTGAAGTTAATATTTTAAAGCAACAGACTGTAATTTGAGTTTTATAGTTTCCTTCATCAACATCAGTCAACTCAAATGTGCTGTGAAAATAATTACTTTAAGTTCTTAATTACATATAAGATAATTAACAAGAACTATTTTGCAAACGATTTTAAATCCGGCAGATAGAAATTAATTTTTTTTTCTTAAAAAGAAAATTATCCACTACATCGAAACGTTCTCCATTTTTATTTCACAGTTTACGAGAAATTTAGTCAGATGTGCTACTAAATATTTCTTAAATATTTAACAATCCGTTGCAAGGACTGTCAAAACATCGATTTACGAGTATTGTTTCTCTTCTAAAATTTAGCTTCAAGTTACAATTTATCTTACCGCGTTGTAGAGTCATTAGGTTTTCTTGAGGCAAGAGAGGTGAAAAATGTGCAATGATCTTGCCAGCACTCGAACTTAACACCTCTTGAATGCTCTTCGAATATACTGCCAGATACACCACTAAGGCATGCGGATAGGAGTGAGAGATTACCTTATAACATCAGTAGCAAGATGTAATTAAAAGGCAGCAATTATGTACCAGGCATGTCGTCATATTGGTGATGCCGTCCTTCTCAAAGCAAATGATTCACGATTTCCGGAATACATGTATCATTATTGTCTCAGTGGATAATATTGCAGTCCTATATCAGTTAGTACAGTAGCACTTTTTGTGATGTCGTTTCCGAATATCACGTGTTTCGTGGCATCACTTCCATCTGTGTTAGAACCTCTGTTACTACTCTGTTGTTACGATTAGAAAGTATCGATTCTTCATTCGGATCAGATAGCCTGATGAAATTTTTCCTCAAGTACTCTAAAGGACAAAATTTTTATCTGAGATCGCAGAAACATTTGCAAGAATTCGCAGAACGTCATCTTGGTTGACGGCGAGATTTTTCTGTAACAGTGGCTTTCCTGAATATTCATCTTTCATGGAGAATCCATTTTGTGAAAAATTCTCCCTTTAATAATATACAGAAACTGAAAATTAATTTTAAGACATATAAAGTCAAATTAACTTTATATATTTCCTCTGTTTTTCAGATAGAGACGAGCAATAATCCAATGAAATACGATGAATTTATTGGACTTGAGTCATCCAGAGTAAGTACACTTAAACAAGCAGTCTGAATTTCGAAATTTAAATTGGTTCAGTCATTTTAATCACACCCTGTTATCTTACTTCATTTCCATAAGTAATTTTATTTCATACTATAAAACAGTCCAGATTATAGTTTCATTTCTTATGATAAATTGACAGTAAAATGCCTGATACTCTTACTTAAGTATAAAGTGATACATTGACAAGTAATCTTTTTTAATTTCGAAGTTAAACAACAAAAATTAGCGTTATATCTGCAAATTTTCACAGGACTAGTTTCGATAGCTTTTAAGGAAGGATTATCCTCAGCTGCCAAAGCGTAAATGAACGAGATAAGATATAGTGATAAGATAAGAATGGCTGGACAGGAGTTAAGCTACTGGCGCCATCTATTGATGCAACAAGAAAACTAAAACATGATTTCCCTAAAGGCTGAAGCTAAAGATGGATTGGCATTAGGGTCATTAACTAACACAGAAAGATTGTTTTGAATGTGAAACGCCTCTAGAAAATCTAATTCACCAATGGAAGATGTTTTTTGAACAATTTTGGCTGCAGAAAAATTGAAAGTGTGATTTTTTGGATGAACAATGCTGGGCAACAGCGGACTTCTGTGTTGCGTGTTTCCCTTTTTCTAACATATGCCTCATGTTCCTCAACGCGAAATTTTAAGGCTCTCTTACTTTGACCAATGTAAATTAAACCACACTGGCAACGAAACCTGTAAATACCCCAGAAATTCATATCCGGAATGGGGTCCCTAAGTATGGAACTCGGAATTTTATTGATAGTAGAATAGACGACCCGAAGGATAATTTCCTGTAAAATACGTGCAATTGTATAGGTAATTGATGTAAAGAATGGAAGGGAAACAGAATTCTTATAATCTGGTAAAACAAGATTGTGCCTTTCTGTGTGCTGAGGTGAGAAATTTTAACTGCTTGGTTAGTAATTTTGTTGTTTGACTTCAAAATAAATATTTGTTCGGCGTGTTATTTTAACCTAAGTGTGTTATTCTTATCATTTTCTTCCCCTACATAACCCTGGGGAACAATTTGTAACACACTTTCCGTTGTGTTTGATTTGCAAGCTGTTTCAGAGTTAAGCAAGCACGTTGGTTTCAAAACTGTAGTTCGTTCTCAGGTAAACCTCAAAACACAAGATCACGTAGTTACGCTACAGTAAATCAGGTAGATAACATTGCAAAAGAAGTTCCGGCAAACACAACTAAAGTTCGTACATCTAAAAAAAGAGGAGACAAACCTCGATGATGAAAAATGAAAACAGCACGGAGATCTTTGCTGCTCCCTTGTTCACATATTTCCGATGTTTGCTGAAGTATTTTAAAAGTATTCCATCATTGACATTTTGACAATTATTTGGGAAAATAAAGGCAGCCTCAACTCCAGTAGACAAAATTTTATATTCGTGAATATTTCTGAAGAAATATTCAGTGGAGGGAATATTAGTAGTTTCATTTAAGTACTATATGATGCATATTCGAGGTATTTTACTTGCTGGCATTTGGTATTTAATCCTTTTCTGTATATTTATTTGAATTTTAGTATGTGTTAATTAAGTAGGATTTCATATTTTATAATTTGTTATACTACCCTATTGACTCATACTTGCCTTTAATTGTGATACCTTTATTGTATGTACTCTATTAACCAGCTCGGCAGCATTGCAGTCTCTTCTGTCTACACATCTTCTATTTCTTTCCTTATCCTCAGTTTAAGATCTTGTGCTATTTTAATTAGTTTGGACTATTTTAGCATCTACACTGCTACCCTTCGAGAATGAGTTCGAAAGCTGACTTTTCGACGGAAATAGGCTCTTTGAACCGCGTAGTCTGGTGTCTGACCACTAGCAAGAAAGGGCTAAAGCAAAAACTCAAACAAGGGAAAAAAAAGATTGGCTATTCATTCTAAAACTTCTCCCCAAATCACTGATCCATGCGTTACTATGAGGGAAAAAAGCATGATGATCGATTGGAAAGCAAAACTGGATGATGGAGTGACGATCCAATGTTCGGATGGACCCAATTTTGGTCAAGTTGGGTTTTGAAAGTATGAAATACTGTCTAACCACTATTAAAGGACGCTTCCTATTAAACAACAGTTTCTGAATCTTCGGATATTCGAAGCGTTGTAAAGTTTTACCTGCAACAAGCCGAAAAGAAGAGAACATTAAGATTTGATTTTGGTGTGCCTTAATAACCTAAAATTGGATAAAAGATGAATGTTTTTTTACCCATGTATAGTAACAAAAAGAACGCGTAATATCTTCACCTGTGAAACACATAATTTTTCAGAACATTATCGTTGTAGTATAAATTTAGATACATAACCAGCCATAAAGAACCTAGATGCACATAATGAGGTATAATAAAATAATAAAAGTAAGCTGAAAAGCAGAAAATTATGTACAAGTTCAGATTAATGAAAATAGATACACAGTAACTTGAATTCTTCAAACTCCGATGACGAGAGATGCTCAACCAATCAAGAGTGATGACCCTAGTAGCTAACAAAATATAAGGAATTTCTTTGGGGTCATAAAAACACCATGTGCATTTTGAGCACATAATACAGCATAGTAAAATAAAAGAAGTAAGTTACAAGCAGAAAAATATATACAAGTCCAGATTAATTTGTCGGTATCACGTCTGCGGGATAGCACTGGCTGTTAAGACATAAGAATATTATTTGCACAACACAAGTGGTAAGTATAAGAAGTAGAAGAATTATTTTTATAAACAGGGACAGAGATACTGGTGAAAATGAAAGTTCCTGATGATGCTGCAGAAAAATACAAAAATCTCTAGAAAACACTGATACATTGAGTAAGAGATAGGTGCTTCCTGAAATTTTGAAGTTCAGATCACGTGTGGTTAATTAGCCAACCAGAAGTGATTCGTAGTTAATACCTAATGCAAAATAAATTTCACTAATCCATAAAAGATCATAACTGCTTTTTATAAAAACAAATAGGAGATGAGTACATTTAAATAGGAAGAAAAATACGTTGCAAAGCTGAGGAATATATACAAGTCCAGATAGATTTCTATCAGCATTACATTTGAGGGACACATTATGCGAAGTCGTAGCCGAAATGATTAAAACTTTTAAAATCGAATTTCTCACTAAACACACACAGAAGTAATCACGGAGAATAAATGCAGAGTACAGTAACTGAGGTGTTAACATAAGGCCCCATTTATCTGAAACCTCGGAGATTAAAAAGAAGTCCCAGCTGATTATGGAACGCGTAATATTCAGGCGCATACGACAGTGCTATCTCCATTGCGCCGTCGGGACTTCGAAGAAATGATGCAGAAAGTCCGTCCTTCGAGTGCCGATATCGGGAGAAGCAGAAGGGTTATGATTTAAGTTGTTGAAGAGGTGAGCCTCATATGGACGCCTGAAGTAATCTTCCTCGAGGATTTCATAATTTAAAGTATCAGAGAAGTTTACTATAAAACACTTATGTAAAAATTTGAATTCAACTTATTCAGGTGGTCCCAAACGTAAACTCTTTTGAGGTCATTGAGCAAGTATTTATTTCTGATAAAGTAAGGTGCACCGGTGATAATCTTTAAAATTTCAATCTGCAATCTCAGTAATATATTGATACTGTTTTCCGTTGCATTCGCCCAAACCGGAAAGCGTAGGATTAAGCCGGAATTATTACGCTCGGCGGTACTTTAGGCCCTTGATAGCTTCGCAGTCAATTAGCGTTAAGGGGTCAACTCTATTAGAATTTTGATAGCTTCGGCTATATCTCTTTAGTTAAGATTAGTTTAGTTTAATTCTTAGTTTCTTAAGTTGAAGCCCGAGTGTCGGCTTTATTGTACAACTCCAATACGGAGTTTTGTTAAACTTTAGTTGGAATAATAAAGGGTTATTTCACTCTTCTCACTTGTTGCTTTCTACCTCACGAGCTGAACCAATTTTTCGCTACTAGTTCTTAAGATTCTTCACATTCAACTGTAACTTCGAAGTACACAGTGGAGAATTCTACAGAGTAAATGAATTGATTTTAGATAATATACACAAGGCTTACGTTTTAGAATTGTGATGGATAGTGCGAGGTCTTTTATGATTTTGCTCTATGACGTAGTCATAATAGTCTAATTTCTTAATAATTTCCTTGTTGTGTTGAACCCATTTGAGGAAGAATTTATGCGAGAATTTTAGAATTTCTGAGTCTGTAGGTTTAATCCTAAGGTCGTTATGCAGAGTGGAATTTCTTACGAACCAGGGAGCATTGGCTATGATTCTCAAGACTTGATTTTGTATTCTTTGAATTTTCAATCTGTTCGTACTAGTGGTAGTCGCCCAGAATGGAGAAGCATATAGTACAGGTCTTATGGCTTGTAAATATAAAATTCTTTTAATAGCGATGCTAAGAGCTGAGTGCCTGCCCAGTAATGCATAAACACTTCCAATAGTCTGGTTTGCCTTCTTGCAGATATAACTGGTGTGATTTTGAAAGGTTAATTTTCTATCTAAGTGAACACCCAGGTATTTGTCTGAGATATGGCCTGCTATTTCAATATTATTCAATTTGATATTTTCAAGAGGCTTTCTGGTGGGAGTTTTTTCGAAAATAAACAACAGTAGATTTTTCAGCGTTGATTTTTATCTTCCAGGCTTCAAACCATGGGTAAACCTTATAGAGGACTGCTTGAAGTTTGGAGACGGCTCTTTTAGGATTCAAAGATTTGCTTAAAATCGCTGTGTCATCAGCATAACATGCGATGAGGGCTTCTCTAGGATAATTAGGGATATCGTTGATGTATATGTTGAAGGGCACAGATGCTAAAATATTAATTACCTTGTGCTACTCCTGCCAGTGATTTTTTTTTAATTCCAGATAAGGAATCTCTAATTTTAACTTGGAAGGTGCGCGACTGAAATTAACTGGCTATGAGAAGAATGATTTCTGGTGGAAAATTATATCCCATTAATTCAATGAGTACGCCTGGATGCCAAACGCT